TTTCTTTATCCTTACTTGAGGATATTTTCATTGATTTTTAGAGAAATGGGTAGGATAGAGAGAGAGAGAGAGAGAGAGAGAGAGAGAGAGATGAAATAGAAATATTGAACAGAGAATGATGGTGAGAAAGAGAGAAACATTGATGGTGGGGAACATATTTATCATTTGCCTCCCATATCTGCCAAGACTGGGAATCAAACCCACAACCTTGTCATTTATTTGTTTTAATATATATTTTATAGATTTCAGAGAGGAAGGGAGAGGGAAAGACAGATAGAAACATCAATGATGAAAGAGAATCATTGATTGGCTGCCTCCAGTATGGTCACTACTGGGAATCAAGCCCACAACCCAAGTATGTGCCCTGACCAGGAATGGAATCATAGGTCGAACCTCAACCAATGTGCAACACCAGCATGGGTTCATTTAGTTTTGAAATATATTTTCAGTTAGTTTAGAATTTAACCTTGATGGCTACTCAATTTTCCTTCAGCTCTTACAGTCCTCATTTGTTGTAGGAGGTTCATGTTCAGGAAACCAGGAGTCTCATCTGACACTGTTTCCCTTAGAAACTGCTCAGAAAATAAACTAAGACCAGAGTGTGAGCCTAGAACCACTGGACCAAGTGTTGGGGAGAAAGGAGTGTCTGTGAGGGTCCCTGGGGAACAGAAGCATGAACTAGAGAGACACAGATAGAGCTCCCAAGTCCTATTCCTTCAGGGCAGTTTGGTGCTGGACATGTAGCAGCTGCAGGGCCTCCTTTGTAGTGTTCATTCTATAGACTCCGTTGTAGATCCAGTTTCATACCTTGGGACATAGAAGAAACTTCTTCATGACCAGGTGTGTTGAGGGGAAGATATCGGAAATGATTTAGAAATAATTAAGGTTAGGTTATGAAAATCTTGTTATTGGAGAGCTGATGTCTGCATGTGAACCTTGTGACCCCTGTCTCCACATGATGGGGGTCAAATAGACCCTGCACCTGACTCAGTGCCACATTGAGGGCAGAGATACCTGGGAACATCATGGGGTCTACTCCCTACGCCACCATTTTGGTTCTCCTGTTTAAGTATTTCTTAATAGATATCAGAGAGGAAAGGAGAGGTTGAGAGAAATATCAATGATAAGAGGGAATAATTGATTGGCTGCCTCATGGCTGCCTCCAGGCCCCACACTGGGGATGTTGTCAGCAACCTGTGCATGTGTCCTAACCAGGAATTGAACCATGACCACCTGGTTCATAGGTTGATGCTCAAACACTGAGCAACACTGGGTGGGTTGTCCCTGCACTTTTGGGATTCACAAAGCTGCCTGTGCACTTGGGCTCTGGTTAGCAGGACGTTGGCAACATTATATGTGACCAGACACCACCCCTTCACTGACTGCCCTCTGATCTCAGTGGCAATGGGCTTATCCACCATGATGCTCTGCAGCTCACAGCCTCCTTGGAGATTTCCTCAGCACAGGTGTGAGCTATTGGAGATGCTCTGAGCTCAGCGCTTAGCTGTATCTCCACCTGACACAGGTGGGGCCCCCAAGGCCTGACATCCCACGTGGGCACTGCACATGGGCTCAGCAGGATGGCTGAGTGGTCTTGGCCATGATGGCTCAGGGAGGGCCTGGTACAAGGGATGGACATGAAGGGATGACGT